GAGGAGCCTAGAGAGTTGAGATGGGCCAAGGATGTGGGCCTGGCAAGGGAAAAGCCCATCCCAAAAGTGGCCTGAGGTTGTAACCTAGGCGGTGGGTCCGAGGACGACATAAGGCGCATAACGACAAAAGTGACAATGGCCGGGAACGTACGGAGAGAACAGGAAGTGGGGTCATGCGCCTCGGTGACAAGGCCTGGTGTCAGAATGTCGGGGCGCATGGCAGGGGTAAAGTACGGTGCATTAAATGAGATGATGACGTAGGGCGGATTCGGGGGGCACTGGTCGACCCTACCTGGAGTATAAATAGTGAAGTGGGTGGAGCTCATTTACTCAGGTTGGAACTTCTCTCTAAAACTATACTCCACTTCTCTCTCTAGAAACACTGTTCTAACTTGGGCGTCGGAGTGCTGACGAGCCCCAAAGAAGGGGTTTGGTGTGCGCCTTCGTGTGCAGGAACGAAGTGGAAGGTCGGAACGTGATCCAGGAAGAGAGGCGCATCGACTAGTAGAGAGCTCCGGGTTACGTGGCATAAACAGCTACAAAACTAAGTGTGAAGTTATAATTTCAAGACAAAAGGTTAATTCCATGTGGCTAAATTTTATGAGAAAATAAATGAAACAATGTTGGATAAAGTCCAAGCTATGTTTGTTAGATTCCATAATAAAAATTAATATTGTGCCAATGCTCTTTATGGTTAGCAACCTAACCTTCGGCTTCCATATCTGATAGCAAAAAATTCGAATGTATGTTCCCTTAATCAATCATTCATTTTTATGTTTTCCACATACATAATCTTATTTTTTTATATTTTTAATAAATATCGTATATTATCATCTATAGAGAAACACAATATTTATTATTCTCTTGAAAATCTATTTTTTATTGAAACCCATATCTTATTAATCTAACCTTAGTTTCTTAAGAAAAAACGGATTGGATTCAATTATGCATATGATAAAACTGATGGTATTAGAGAAGATTATGGTAATTTCTAATTCTACGTGAAATCAGAATTTTTTGTTTGCGTCAATCTTTCATTGGTGTAGTTGCAAAGTAAATAAAAAGAGGAACTGAAAAAATAAAAGGAAATAATCCTTTTATTGTCAGATGGCCTCCAAAAAAATGAACAGTGATTTGAATTAAAAAAAGGTGTGGCGGATGTAAATAAGTAGTGGGGTTGTAAAAAACAAAATAATTAAAAAAATTTGATGTGTACAATAAAATAATAATGGCGCCAGCAATTTTAGGAGAACGGAACATATATGGAATTGACAAACTCATCCCTCCGCAATATGCGGTTTGACATTGCCTTATATTTACTAGTTTTTTACCCGTTCGTTGGGCGGTGCATTACATTTGATTATTTTAAAATTTGTTATAGTATTCTAATTATTATTATTATCATTTATGTTTGTTGATTTAATATACATTAAATTGTAAATCTCACTTACCTTATTTAGGTAATGTTTCATACTTTTATACCTTTTCTATTTATGAAAAATTTAATTGTATTAACTGAGCTCTTTGTAGATCGTTCTTTATTGATTTAAAATTTTGTATCAAACTCAAAAAAGTGATAAGGAAGTTAAAATTTAAGGTAAAAAAACAAAGTGAAGAGCTTTTCATTTTCTTTCCCTTCTCCTATGTTGGTATATGATAATAGAGAATATTCCGATATAGATCTCACGAATATCGTGTATTATCAGTTACACCTGCAATTCTGGAATAATGATGAAATACATTAGCATCCACATCCATCAGTCTTCTGGATACTCAATTAATTTATCTTGTCAATGTTCTAGCAAAACCAACCACAAACAGAATTATCAGTTGTCACTAATTTATTAAAATAATATTTTCAACAAACTAAACTTCATATAAACACAATTTATAATTTATAGAGAGCCGCATATCTCCTAAAGGAAAAAAATAGTGATTTTTTTACCTAATAACAACATAGACAAATAATGAAAGGAGCATACTTCAATACAACTCAACTCATTCTATCTTGCAGATTCCTAATTTGTGAACTGAATCTATGCACCAATCAAAATAGTAGTTGGTAAGAAAATAATCATGTCAAAATCAAGCTTTAGTTAAGGATTTAATGAGGAGAAATTCACCCTAATGAAACAAACAAATGTCATTGCAAACGTGTAGAAATTGAAAAAACATCAAAATACACAACCGAGGAACCGCCACAGTCATTTTCTTTCTTCTTCACGACCTTTATAAAACCCCCAATTATGTTGCCTTCTACTTAGTAGCATGTCAAGCATGAACATAAGGAATATAATGAAAACCCTCACAACTCCACTTTCCATTTCAACATCTAAAGAATCGGGTTGCAATAGGCATTTAAGTAAAAATCAATTATTCAACCAAATGACATATGCTCTAAGTCCAACCAATTATCATTTCTAATCATATATTACATAAAAGTATATGACGTAATAGAGAACATAAAATAACTCCGTGAAAACGAAGAATAAATACATTTGCTCATCAAGTAGGGAAATTTACCATCCAACAATTTTAATTTGGAAGAAATTAAGAAAATAATGAAAAAAATAGTGAGCAGTTGCGAGCTTAATTCAGATCAAGGAGGAAGAGGGAGCAGTCGACAATCCTCGGTTTGGTTCACCTCAGTGGCTGAGGGAGAGTATAAAAGGGAGGGTCCCGGGACCCATCCTGACTCGGAAGGAAAATTTTTCAATTAGGTACAATAGTTAATTTATATAGAAAATTAGGGGTATTTAATTGAGAATAGTTGATCGAAAGATTTTTTGTTCGAAATTTTGGAGACCTCATTTGTTAAGTACACGGTATACAGATTTGTGCAAACTTCATGTTTCTATAAGTTGACTTTCTTATAGGAGGGAGCGTGCTAGTAAATAGTATAAGATATATTATTGAACTCTTCCAACAACTCAATTTATTGATTCAAAAAGATTCTTGACAAATAACATCATTTGTAAGCGAATGACTAACCAAATCATGATTTATTGTTTGGTGTAAGATTTATTATTAAATATCTCTTGACAACTCGAGTTATAGATACTAATGGTTTTTTATAAAGAACATCATACGAAACAAAACAACTAACTAAATCTTTAATAATTGTTTGGTATATAAAGTAATATTCTTGATACTTTCTACTGCTAATCTATTTTACTTAACCAAAATTTTCCAATACAAGATTATGTCATGAATGATTCGCAAAGTTAACAAAAATTATTTTACCAGGTGTATTTTTCTTCTAAGTGGACCCACCTTAGATGAAATCCTAACTACGCCACTGGTTCACCTCGTCTTCGTAATGATAGGATGAACTGCTTTTATCAACAGGCAAAAATATGTTACAACTGCTCAAAAAATTTTCATCTAATCGTTTCCTCGTGTACCTCCCTCCTCCTATTATCCTACAAAGAAAAAAAAAACATCATATGCATTACCATTTCCTTCTCTATCTAATTTCTTATTTTCAATGTTGGATTTTATTTCTAGAGAGACAATCAAAATGGGAAAATGGTAGAGATAAATTAAAAGGTTGTATTCATAATTAATATGTTTTTGATTTAAACGGAATGAATAAGAAGTGTTTTAAAAAAATAACAATTATTGCTATGTCAAATTTATCTTCAAACCTTTTTGTATATAAATTATACTTGTTTTATTTATAAGTATACTCATTAGGAAGAAGTGAGTGTTTGATAACAAAAAATATTTAGTCATGTATTTAATTTTTCAAAAACGATTGATTGTCAAACGCTCATTTTCTCCTAGACCATCGTTTAAATTTTGTTTAATTGAAAAATTATTATTATTCATATGTGTGCTTGTTTTTTTTCCATCAAAATGTAACTTATTAGAAATTTTTAGTGAAAATGAATAGAAAATTTACTTAATGAGATTTAATAAGATACTTTGGGTTAAACTGTCCCTCTCTATTTTCATTTTCATAGTTTGTTTAATTGAAGAAAAGATTATTACTTATGTGTGTTTGTTTGTTTAAATGTGTCACAAAATGTACCTCAATTTAAGTTTTAGTAAAAATGAGTAGAAGTATTAAAAGAAGAGAGAGATAGCTCCATAAATAGATCAATAAATAAATTTTTGTTTGTTAAAAAATTGTCCACCTTAGCTTCTTGTGAATTCACCAACTGCTTATGTGGCAAGAACTTATTTTTGAATAGCCATAATATTAAGTATAGATAGATAGATAGATATCGATAGATAGATTTGTAGATAATAGCTAGAGAGAACTAATCGAGAAAGAAAAAGAAAAAAGCAGAAAGGAAAGGAAGGAAGCAGAAGCGCAGCAGACAGAACCATCGCCCATCGTCTAATTCCTGCATCCAATCAATCATCTCCTGTTGTGCGAAAGCCCCCTATCAGCTGGTCAAATCCTTCTTCTTCCTTCAACTCACAAACCCCAGAATTTCAAATTCAAAAGTTCGAGCCTTTTTTCCCTCGGTCTTTCAGATCAATAACCCTTCTCCTCGCTCTTCGCTTCCTTTTCTCTTACAACAGCTGCAAGCCCTTTCAATTATCGATCTTGCCTCCAAATTCTCCAGTTTTACAGGGTACCCTTGTCTTCTTCCTCGAATATATACTTTAGTTTCTTCAGATGTAATGTGGCTGTTCATTTTCGGTTCCTCTCCGTTCAACTCCTCCACCGCTGGTCCAATTGATCTTACTAAAGCTTGCAGCGCTGCAATGTGATATTTCGTTTCATTATTTTATACTGTTTCTATAGGGATCAATTCCCAATTGTCATGATCTCGGTCTTATGTGTTCTATCTTAGTAATTGCTAAGTTGTGCTTATAGTTTCAAGAGTTGGGTTCCTTTTTATCAACGCATTTGCTAATGTATGGAGAGGCTATAGATTTGCTTTGCTAGGATGAAGCTCAGCTGCAAAGTTTGCATCTTGTTATATGCTTCTTTATGCTTACATATTCGTCCTACTCTTTTCAGCTCTAAAATCTGAGATATTGATATGCATAGCATCGCGAAGAAAGTAGCAGACCAGGCATCTAAGAAACCTACTCTCTCCAAGTCAGAATTTGGATCCTTGTTAATTGCATCATTGAAGTCAAGACGTGGTAGCAGGGTGGCCCTCAGTAAGAAACAAATATCAAAGAAAGTTACTCGTCCTCCAAGTAAGGTGACCAGGAAAGGTGTTAGGTCTAGAAAGTTGGTTCGGGGTAAAAGTGCACGCAAACCACTTCATAAAAGGTCCGGGAAGAAGTCAGAACCGTCTACTGCTATCTGTCCTGAGTTGAATGAGAAGAATCCTAAGAAGGAGACTGCCAAGAGAAAATTTAAAAGGAGAAGGATAGATGGAAGGCGAAGGAATAATGTAGAGCTAGATGAACCATCACGGTTGCAGAGGAGAACAAGATATTTGATGATTAAAATGAAGATGGAGCAGAACCTTATAGATGCTTACTCTGGTGAAGGATGGAAAGGCCAAAGGTAAGATATTTTCTCTCACATTCCTGTTGATTTTGAGAAACTATAACTAATAACTAAAAGATCAAAGTGTTTCTATGAGATATTAGTCTGCTTTAGTGAATTTCTCTGAATATGTATATAAAATGGGTTTTGAACTATTCGTATGTCTTATTAAGCTTCTTAAGTTTGTGAAGAAGCTACTTTTCTCAGATGAAGTTCTTTAATAGATCAACACTAACCAGACCTACTTAGGTTTGATTCAGATGTCATTGACACTGACACTGATTCAGATGTCATTGACACTGTAATCTTTGTTACACCAACTTAGGGTATTAATTGGGAAATGATTAAAGGAAAGAAACGACAGACATTTCCTAAGGCACTTCCTCTTTTTATATGAACTTCACCAATGTATCTGCCTTAAATATTTCAAGTTGAGTTCTGACTCCCTGAAACATACATGAGAGAAACAAAGTTGGGTATGCTTGTTTTTGGAATATGCAACTGAAAGAAGGGCCTGCTGAAGGGAAACTTATGTGCGCTTAACTCTTACATTGGAAATTCTGCTGCAGTCGAGAGAAGATCAGGCCAGAGAAGGAACTACTAAGAGCGAAAAAAAAGATTTTGAAGTGCAAACTTGGAATACGGGATGCAATCCACCAACTTGATTTGCTTAGTGCAGTTGGATGTATTGAAGACTCAGTTATGACCCCAGATGGATCAGTATCCCATGAACATGTAAGCATGCATAATCAGTATCACAAATGGTATATTTATGTTCATGGCCAGGAGTATCATAAGTTTTGTGCACTCGTGTTTTCTTTTACTTATCATGCTCAGATCTTCTGTGCAAAGTGCAAATCAAATGACGTGGTCCCAGATAACGACATTATACTCTGTGATGGGACATGCAATTGTGCCTTCCATCAAATGTGCCTTGAACCTCCACTTCACACCGAAAACAGTAATCTATTCATTGTCGTATACTTTGATTTGAATTTGGATAAAAAGAAAAGGAGTGAGCTTCTTCCTAATGCTTTTGCTCTATCGAGCGCTTGCAGTACCCCCTGGAGACCAAGGATGGTTCTGCAAGTTCTGCGAATGTAGAATGGAAATCATAGACTCAATGAATGCACACCTTGGAACCCAATACTCAATGAGTTGCGAATGGCAGGTTGTTTGAGTGGGCAGAAGAACCATAAAAATATCTTTCTTTGGGTATTTTCTAACTAAAATGTGGAGTATTTTTTTTTTTTTTTTTTTGCTGAAGTAGGATCTTTTCGAGGAAGAGGCAGCAGCTCCTGATGGTGGGAACATTTTAATTCTTGAAGAGGAATGGCCCTCGGATGACTCTGAGGATGAAAATTATGATCCAGAAAGGAGGGAAAATAGCATGAACGGATAATGATGAGTCGGATATTGCTAGCAGCTCCACTAGCTTGGGTTGGTCTTCAGATGATGAAGCTGTTTCTGGATCCAGAAGATGGGATGTGGAGGGAAAAGAGTTCAGAAACCAGTCAATATATAGTAGCTTAGATTCTGATGAATCTAGTGATGTTGAAATCATGAGCGGCCGCAGAAAGCGCAGAGCAGTTGATTATCGGAAATTGTATGACGTGAGTATTATAAATCTTAAAGATTCGGGTAGATCCTTTTGCCTTAGATATAATAGCGGGATATCCACAAAGTCCAGAAGGCTTGAAGCTTTCTACCTGCTAACATATTCATTTTGACTTCTGCTTGCATTAGGAAATGTTTGGAAAAGATGCTCCTGTAGCTGACCAACTCAGTGAAGATGAAGACTGGGGTCCTAGCAAGAGGAAAAGGAAGGAAAAGGAGTCAGATGCTGCAAGCACGCTTATGACTCTCTACAAACGTAAAAAAACAAGCAAAAAAGGATGAGACTTTGGAAGGAAAAAAGGACCTTCCTAAAGAATCACGAGTTCGAAGGGCACTATCGAGAATTCCACCTAGTGCAGTTGAGGTACCAACATTCCGTCCCTTGTTGCCCTTTTCCCCGGTTCTGATTCTTAGTTTTGCTGAAATGTCATGTCAACATTTTGCACTCTCTGTCAGATTAAGGCGGGTTTTTGAGGAAAATGAACTTCCCTGTGGAACAGTTAAACATAAGCTTTCAGAAGAGCTAGGTCTTGAACCTGGAAAGGTATGAACAAACCAATGCATTGAAGTTATGTATGGGATCGGCATTGATGGGTGATGCCCAACTGAGTGGACTAAATAGTTCTTACTGTTATTTACTCCTTCCCCCCGACTGATTTTCATCGCTTGGAGTTGCAATTCCAGGTCAGCAAATGGTTCAAGAACGCAAGGTACCTGGCATTGAGATCCAGAAAGGTGAGTTGGTGCTTGATTTTGCCAACATATTTCCTATGATGTACCTTCTATTGTCAGTTTCATGTCTCAAAACCTTGGAGCTTTCTGGTGGTTCTTTTATATGTCAAATGGACAAAACACCACAGTGCAGTGATTCCAACCCTAAGCTGTCTGGTGAAGCAACAGAAAACGAAAATAAGAGTGGAGGCGCTGAAGTTTCAGATGCTGTAACTGAAGCCGGGCTACAGACAACAAGGACTTCAAAAGATGTACTCCCAAAGAAGAAGCTAAGATCTAATTGCGGGCTGAAGGAAAATGATCCAAAAGAATTTTCCCTTGAATCACAGGCAGGAAATAGTGAGGTATTGCTGAAAAAGCATTTCAGCAAGTGTGATCTAGGATATCATAATTCAAGAATCCGCTGGAATCAAGCTGTCAGCTATTTATAACCCTTGTTTCGTCTCTCCGTGTAACGATTGAAAGAACATTCATTTTCCCTGTTTCACACAGATGGAAGCCCAAAAGGGTGATGATCCGAGCTTGAAGACTCTGCTAAAAGAAAAATCAAGTGCAGGGAAGAAGCATTCCAACTCAAAATATTCGGAGTCCCCGTCTCATCAACTTGCCGAGAGTGAGATGGAGAGACTTTGTAGAGCCAAAGACACCCTAGAGAACATGAGGCAGTTTCTGGGGAGTCTACCAATCAGCAAACGTAGGAGGTCCAAGGCGCTTGTTCTTAGAGAGAGGGTGGTTTATGTGCCCACTGCTGAGCTAAAGGAGAAGATTGCGACAGTTGGATAAACTTCAGTTTAGCCTTTCAGAGAGCACCTTTTTCTCTATCTGCATCTAGACATCGAAGGTTTTAATTGAGAAATTGACAAAATTAGTTTAGCAAATTATCAGTGAGTATAGCAGTTTGAGATGGGCTACTAACCATTTGTACATTTTATTTACCTAGCATTCCGTCTTTTAGGATATTTTTTAACTCAGCAAATATGAAATACATTGTCAAGCCTTTTTCTAAAGCTGTGTAACTCCTATGTTCTATATATAACGAAGTGCAAGTTATTGCAATAAACAGATAAGTTACACTCAAACTTTCACTTTTGGGGAAGTTGCTATACAAGTGTCAAGTGATAACCATAATACATTCCTTTCAGTCACTCGAGACTCAAAAGACTAGCAAAGAAACAGAAATATCAGACGCTGTTGATGTCCATCTTGTCCAACACCCGGACTACCAGTTCCTTTTGTTTGTAACTGATCCAAATGCATGGAAAAGTAGCTGCAGTTCATCTGTTGAAGCACACCTATGAAAGCCTAAATTATGGCAGAAACTTCTTCATATCAGTTCAAAAAAGAGAGAGAAGCACATCTGCAGAGTCTGGCAGTCTGCCAGTAGAGCAAATGACTGTATGAGGAAGACGTCCAACAAGATATGATCACACAATTAGAGCATGATGACTTCCTTGAGCTAGAGATTGGATTGCACAAGGAATGCGCCTACGAGTAGTCAAGTATAAATAACTATCCAATTTCTGCTTACTTCAAATCTAGCTATATTACATGAGGCATCCACTCAGGCTATCCAAAATCAGTTTCAACTGTAATTTTCTTTGACTTGAGCACTTTGATATCATTCTTATGACCGTCATCACATGTATGTACATGAAACTAATGAGCCGGCCAAGAGGGTGTGCCGGCCCGCCCTCCGGCACAGGGCCTCCCAATATTAGGGGCCTCCCTTAGAAGCGATATTGGTCTTGGTTTCTTGGTCAAACAGGAAGCGAGATTGTTTATTCATTTTGAAATCATTTTCTGAATTTATGTACTTTATAATTATTTAATAAATTTTAATTTTAATAAATTTACTGAGAAATAAATTAGGGGCCACATGTTAAATTTTCGAACAGTGCCTCCAAATATCATGGGACGGCTTCCCTCCTCCCCTGACCTAAATGACCTAAAATATAAATAGCGAAATCGTGGCCTCTCCCCAGTCCCCTCTCACCCGCCGCTCCTCCCCATTTCTGAACCCTAGCCCCTACCCTCGCCGGTCGCCGCCAGTCGCCTCGTCCCCGTCGAGCTCGTCGGCCGTCGGCCGTCGCAGCGCCGTCCTCACTCCTCTCGCTCCCAGCCTTCGTCGCATCGCCTCCCTCCCGCTCCCAGCCTTCGCGTCGCCGCTGTCCTCCAACAGAACTCGTCGTCGCCGAACTCCCTCCCAGAACTCGACTCCTGCCGACGCTGTCGTCTTCTGCCCCGGAATCCCGCCATCGCCCTGTTCTATCACCATCACCAATGTAAGTCTGAACTTGTTCCCTAAAAATCCTCTACTATTTGGCATTTGCAGTTAGAACTTAGAACAAATGCTGCCACCAAGGCTACGAGTCCAACAAATCCTGCCACCAAGGCTGCCGTCGTCTGTATATATGATGTAATGATGATATAGGTGTTTTATTTTTAAGATTATGTGGAACAGAACATTAGTAGTTAGTAGGGATTTGGTTTGGTGATTGGTAGTTAGCAGGGATTTGGTTTGCTAATTGTTGTATTTACATTATGCTAATTGTTCTATTTACTTGTTTTTATTGATTAAAACAGGGATAGAGGTGGACGTGGTAAGAAACCACGTGGTCGTGGTCGTGGAAGAGGAGAACAAGGAGCAAGAGGTGCTCCTCCTCCGGCTTCTCAGCCGCGGGTTCCTTCGCAACCTGCTACTCCTTCTACCGGAGTTACTACAACCGGAGGAGTTACTCCAAATGTGGCGGCTGCAGCTGAGAATGTAGAAGGTATTGGAAGAGATAATGTAGCAGCGCCGGCTAGAGTCGAGAATGCAAATGTGGAAGCTGGGGGAGATGCAACGGGGAGTGCAAATGATGCAGCAACAAAGAAGAGGAAAGCTAAATGTTGGAATGTCTTCACACCGATACTGGTTGATGGCTACCCATTTGGTGAATGTATATTCTGCAAGACGAAGATTGCAGCACATCCAAAGTTTAATGGGACAAGTGCAATGAATACACATAGGAGGGCATGTGCGAGGAAAAGGCAGAAGGAGAGTGATAGCTCTCAAACTTTGTTGAATCTGCAATCAACATCTACAGCTACTGGTGGTCAGGTAGGATCTCTTTCGACATGGAAGTTTGATCAGACTAAAACTAGGATTGGTCTAGCTGGGATGATTATATTGGATGAGCTTCCCTTTAGATATGTCGAGCATGAAGGCTTTAGACGATTTATGGCATTGGCGCAGCCCTTGTTTGTGATACCTGGTAGGCTTACAATTAGAGAAGACTGTTATTGTATCTTCCTTGAAAGAAAAGATATCCTGAGAGATTTCTTTGTCACAAAATGCAAAGGAATAATTTCGATAACGACAGATACATGGACTTCTGTTCAGAATGCAAACTATATGTGTGTGACTGCTCATTATGTTGGTAAAGATTGGAAGTTGGTGAAGAAGGTGATTTGCTTTGTTGAGGTGACTAGTCATACTGGAGTTGATATAGCAGAGACATTGTGTACTTGTCTAGATGAGTGGAAGATCAAGAGTTTGTGTTGAATCACAATGGACAACGCTAGTGCGAATGATGTTGTGGCTAGTTACATGATAGAGAAGATGCATGAGTGGGGGACAAATATGTTGGATGGGAGGTACTTGCATTTTCGTTGTGTTGCTCACATCATCAACTTAGTTGTCACTGATGGCTTGAAAGAAGTGGGGATTTCGGTTGAAAGGGTTCGAGATGTTGTGAAGTGGGTCAAGTCATCTCCATCAAGACTTACCAGATTCAAGGCTGCTGCTGATTTTCTTAAGATTGAGACCAAGAAACTTGTGTGTTTGGATGTTCCCACAAGGTGGAACTCCACCTACCTCATGCTAGAGTCTGCAGAAAGATTTGAAAAAGTATTTACTTTCTTATATGGACAAGATAAGAGCTTTAAGAAGTATGTGGACGCAAAGAGAGGTGTGCCAACACAAGAAGATTGGAGTAGTGTGAGAAGGCTGATGAAGTATTTGAAGTTTTTCTGTGATTTGACTGCGCGTGTATCTGGTATGACAATCTAAATCTTTAAAGGCGAACTATATGTTCTTTTTCTTATTACTTCAATTTATGTTATACTAATATCTACTCTCTTGAACTTTTCTGTGTTTACAGGAACATCATATGTGACTGTGCATCTATTCTTCAAGTATCTTGCAGATATTTATGAGGTCATATGCACATTGGAGCAAGATGAAGATGCCGAGATACAACGAATGGCAGTGAGAATTAAGGCGAAGGTTGCAAAGTATTGGTATGAGGCAGATAATGAGGAGAATATTAGGATAAACCGTGTGATCTACATTGCATGTGTGTTAGATCCGAGGCGCAAGTTGGCCTATGTTGAATTTGTCTTGAAGCATATGTATGGCCAAGAATATGGGAAGCAAATGGCTAAGGATATCAAACAAGAGATGAGTGACTTGTTTGAAGATTACAAGAAGAAGCTCCAGTCTCCACCCTCAAGTGCGCCGGATGCTGTTGGGACTAATACTCGTGCCACCTCCACAACCACTCTCAGTGGGAGTTCGAGTAGTGGTGTTGTGATGGGAGGGAAGATAACTTTTGAGTTCAAGAAGTTGAGGAAAGAAGAGCTTGATGCGGGTATTCGAAGTTCTTCAGAGCTGGACATCTATCTGAATGATGTCAATGATGCTGTTCTTTTTGATGACGAGGATGATAGCTTTGACATTCTTAAATGGTGGTCCGTCAGCAGCATTAGATATCCCGTGCTTTCTGAAATGGTGCGGGATATTTTGGCCATTCCGATTTCTTCTGTTGCCTCCGAGTCTGCTTTCAGCACAGGAGGTCGGGTGCTATCCTCATTTAGGTCCTCCTTGACCCCGAAGATGGTGGAGGCATTAATCTGTGCCGAAGATTGGATACGATTCCCTGATTCCCAATTGGTTCATGATGAAGAGGATCTCGAAGAGCTAACTGAGTTTGAAAGTGGTAATATATCATTTCTTCCTTCTAATTATGCTTTAGTTTTCATATTTGACAATTTTCCTATCTTAGTTTTCTCATTATAATCTACTTTTCATGTAGTTCATGAGGTTTTACAAGCTCGAATGGCTAATCAAAGTGGGAGTGACTTTGATGGAACCCAAAGTTTTTCAGTTGATCCTACCCCTACCCCCATAGTTGATGGACTTGATGATGTTGCTGAATATGATTCCGATGTCAATCCTGATGACGAGAATGAAGATCTTGGAGTAAATGATGACATTGGGCTAGACGATTTGGAGCGAGATCCCCGAATTTAGGTTGATGATTTGGAGAATGAACTTGTTATTTGTGGCTTGTTGTGATTTGTGAACTTGTGACTTGTTGAATTGTTGGCATGTAAAAGATTTATGGTGTGTGATGAATGATGACTTGACTTGTGGTTTAACTGTGGTTGGTTTAGACTTCATGTTCTGATTTGATAATAGAGCAGTATGTTTTTAGAAAAAAGGCAGCAGCAGGTTTTTAGAGAAAAAGGAAGCAGGTGTGCTGTGTGCAGGTCACTGAAATCGGTTTTATTGGCGGTTTCTGACCTAAAATCGAAAACCGGACCGACTCTGGGCGGTTTCGGCTAACCGCCCCATCAAACCGAAACCGGCGGTTGCGGTTGGCGGTTAACCGAGCCTCCCTTCAGTGTCGACTTCGGTTGAGGGACATAGGCTGGTTTCGGTTTCGGCTAACCGATGGTGCGGTTCGGTTAAACCGAAACCGCACCGACTAACAGCCCTAGTAGTGAGTGGCTGGTGGCAGCACTATTTTTTCTGAACTCTGAATTAAGATATTTCTTGCAAATATCTTTAGAAGGAACATTGGTAACTTGAACCCAAAATTGTAGTGCTCCCATCCCCGGTAAATATCTTATATATCTTTCCAAAATACAAATTTAAAAATACCGATTGATAAATGAGAATTCAAATAATTGAAAAGCCACTGTCCCCATCCGCTACCATGTACTCCGGTACTAGTGTTTTCTCTTTTATTGAGGTCGAATCATGTTGGTGACGAGGAAACTACAACCATGAATTGAAACTGAATTTGGAAATGAAATCAGTTCATTTCTATATACATATTAAGTTATCACGACAAGTTGTATAACGAACAATTATAATACAGTTCACTAACATGTAAATCTTCTCAGATGAGAGGACAAACAATCTAACTAACTATCATGTATTGTCTTTAAATTAATCATTGATATCATTAGAGGATCGTATTATCAAAAACTTGAAGACATGACCTTTCAACCATCAAAGTTTTGATCACACGTTATGTATAACGTTAACTTGCGATTTATTGAGATGACTTGGTACTTTAAGATTAATAGCTAGGTATTTGATGGCTTCAACTTGTAAGGCAATTGCGATATATTGGGAAGAAAGGAAGGGGAAACAAAGTTTTGGGTAGTGCATAGTAATTAAGTTGGTAAATATTTGGGTGATTGTGATTGTGATTGTGATTGTGAAGAAGAGTATACCAGAGAGAGAGAGAGAGAGCGAGCGAGAGAGAGAGGAATGGAGGGGGGAGGAGAAAGTGACAAACAACAATGGGAAATCCAGAGAGGGCCTTAACTACTATCTCTGTGGCCTCAGTTGTGCATATCGCGCCTTGCTGGAGATCTTAAGGCCCTTCAAATTTGGATGACATAATATAATCTACTACTCCCATTTATATGTTTCATGATGCTTAATTAGGCGATTGTGAGATAATCCAAGTATCGCATTAACGCAATTAGTACAAGGTCGTTTGGAAAGGAACTCAAGAGTAAATTCGTGCAGGTTTGGTTCAAAGCGGACAATATTGAGCTATCCAATTTCGACAAGTGAAATTAGAGTTTGGTTCGGTTTTGATTCGAGGTGGTGGACGTCAGTTTGGTGGACCCTCATTAGATGACTGCGAGATTTGAGATCCGCGTTTGTTTGGTGAATCAAGAGATATTCACGTTTGTCTGGCAGATCAAAGGAGATTTGCGTTTTGAGGAGAGGATTGCTATGATACAATCCAAGTACACATAGAAAATACAAGGAAAAAGACCCTTGTATATTAGGGTCCACCTAGAGCAATTAGTAATAGGTCATTTGGGGAGGATACCAAAAGAAAATTCATGTGGGCTGGTCCAAAGGGGACAATATCATACTAATGGAACTATTAAGTCTCAACAAGTGGTATCAGAGCCTGGATTAGAATGCGGATCCAGGACGATGCGCGTCAGTTTGGTGAGACCCTCATTGAGTGACCTCATGATTTGAGATTTGCTTATGTTTGGCAGATCAAAGGAGATCTGTGTCTGTCTAGCATATCAATGGGGTTATACATTTGGTAAATCTTTTTGTCGAGGAAAGTGTTGACTGATCAATAATCTCTAAGGAGAGGACACGAAGTTCGTGGTTCTTATCTTGAGAGGAGGATTGTTGTGAGGCAATTCAAGTACCACATCGAAAATAAAAAATAAAAGCCTTTTATATACGTGTTCATCTAGTCCAAATTAGTACGAAATCTTTAAGAGAATATACTTAAAATTAAATCCGTACGAGGTTAACTAGAAAAACAATATCGAGACTGGATTGCTCCATTAGTAAGATATGTATTCGCATAGTCAATGGACCAGACATTTAGGATCTATCTTATTAACAATGAACAAGCTGGGCTTGAACGCTGGACTGGTTTCATACTCCATCTAGTTATCCCGTACGTAAGTCAAGTGGTAGACCGTGGTGCCCACCCACTTCCAAAACGGGCCTCTCCCTCCCTCTCGTAAGTAGTATCCGATGTGTTCGTTGTGGGGCCGCCGTCGACCCGAGTACGTTGTCTGTTAGCCTGTCAGAGAGCTTTGCGTTCGTTGGTAAATTGTAACTCTCTCAATAAATACAGCCGTGCCCGTACGTACGTATGAAAGGTCGAAGAAGAGATTGAGCATGGGAACATTGCTGAAGCACATACCCTTCCCGTCATCCCCCAAAACTGCAGTGTTCGACTCATGTTCTGCTTTGCTGGGTTGGGCCTTGTACTTACCACGCGAAAAGGAATGGGACTCAGGGTAACATAAATTCTTCCATCTGTAACTGCAACGCCGCCCATTCATGTTTTGAGTCTTTTGACAAAACAAATTAATACCATCCACTTCCAGCGTACATGGCAGCCAAATAGACTTACTAATCTTAGATAGCCCCAAATGGAGGACCTCTCAGGGACACCAACTTCAACATGGCGTCCAGGCGCTCATTCTCTATCTTCTCCCTCAGTTCTAACTTCTGGGTTTCAGGGATTTGCTGTACAAAAGAGATTCCCACAAGGCAATTAGTTCACCTGAGGAAACCAAAAAATTAACTACTATAACTAGACATTTTGTTACCTTTGTCAACCATAACATGTAAGATGCTGAACAAATTGCTTGTTCTTCAAAATCTTCAAACTCATCATCACTTCCTTCCGAGCATGAATTGACGAGGAGCAACTCCTTATCCAAAAACACACTGACATTCACTTGGATGCTAGATTGGCTTTTTTGTGGGGAAGACACGTCGTTGACATCGGTTGTGAAATGCCTTATCCATAATAAGGAGAGAAAGCGACGGTAGAGCCATAGAGCCTGTGAACAAAAAGGGATTTGGGGTGGGAGTTAGCTTTGGAGGAAACTCAGGTTACAATGGAAACAAAGTGATCAGAAACAATTCCACAACTACTTTAATTTGCAGAACGCAGTAATCGATTTTCATGTTTGTCAAGATCCCCTATATTCACATATTTTAAATGGGCTTAAGAAAAATACCTCCCTTCCTAAATAACGCTTTATTAATTCTTCATTCCAGTCAAGCTCCTCCTGATAGAAACAGCAGCATCAGAGTTATTAACTCACAATTTGTGCAATCTCGATTAATTACAAAAGAGTTAATAAATGATGGCAGTGAATATGAAAGTTCAGACATTATACCTGCCAGATCAGATAAACTTGAACACAAGAATCACAAGACCCCTCTTCTTGCTTACGGCAGCAATCCTCTAAAACTCTGATGATTAGCCTCTGCAATTAGGTGATAACTCAAACTGTGACAAGATGTTAGAAATGTCATGGAATGAATACTCGTAAAATTATACATAGCTTTCTCTCATGAACTCTCTTTTAAATGTTCAAGGATTGTACTCACCATGCGATAATGAAAGCAAGAATGATCAGCAACATGTAACCCAGACCACGTTTTGGATTGCTTCAGTTCCTGTATCACCTGAAAAAGCAATTTTTGCTTAAGCTGACAGACAGGACACCTAGATAAAGCAGCTCATAGATGACTGTGAAATGCATCAGCAGGTATGAACCAAAATACCCAAAAAAGTTTTAGAACGAGAATGTATAAACACCAGGAGAAAGTAAAAAAAAAAAAAAAAAAAAAGCTGCCCAATTCAAGACAGTGGGCTGAAATTCTTACATACTAGTCATACATGAGGGCCAAGTTGTCATGACGTTATAGATAACAAAACTTGCCCAATCTAAGAAACGAACCTGTTCTCTGTCCATGTAAGAAACCAACCAGCAGCGATGATTCCAAGCACGATAGTTCATCTTTGATCTCTGCATAGATAGCAAGGCAGAAAAAGTTTAGAGTAGCGGTCAATAGCACACACGCCCAAGAATTAGTAAACCAGAGCTGTGTTCAAAGCCACTAGTATGGAGTGAAAAATGAAAGTCTAACAATACATGCATACACCTAATCATGTCTGGAAAGATCCCACAATCAAACATGAAATTAATAAACTTCAAAGATGATGCTTTCTTTTTCCCCTTTTCTTTTCCAATTTTTAAAATTTCGTAATGCAATTGTCACAGAAATAGTATGCTTCTTTAGTATTAGAAGTTGTTAAACCTTCATGAATCACTACTATGCAGTTCTTGAAATTAATATAAACCTCTGCTATCTTCTCCACCAGGTCAGATTCTTCCCTTAGAATCTCTTGCAAAGTTGTACGATTTCTGGCCATATTCTTGATCACCCACCTCCTGCCAAAAAGCGAAGGAAAAATGCATAGAACAAGTTAACAACTCATGCAGTTCAACAGATAAACAACAACACAGGAAGAGAATCAACTAGTACTTCATAGATATTACCTATGGCTCCATGCTTGCTCGCTCTTGGGTGAATACGAAAGGACAAGGGCAGACAAGCGAAGCTCGTCAGTGAACATTGACGCTTGTGTCTTCTTCGATACGATTAACTTTCTGCCATTTGCATCAAGAACAGCCATTGATAAAAATAAAATAAAAACAAGAACAGAGGGGCACATTGGGCATAAACAAGCTGCAACTAGAGGGTTTAAAACACAGGTGCCAATCTACCATTTCCGGATCATAATGATTCAAATCAACCAGACCCGTATAAATATAGAAAATTTCAAATTGGTTACCTGGAATTCCAAGCAGTCCCGAAATCAGGGCTTAACAACACAAGTGATTTGCTGCATTTCATAACCACAATTCCTAGAGCTTCAGCAGAAGGAAGAGATAGGTCGCCGAGTTTCTTGTATTCTGCAATTGCATTCATGAATTGTTCTCTGGCAGCCTTGTACAACCGGAGAACAACCTCCGAAGAAATGCCCAGTTTGTGATCTCGAATCCAGAAGGTCCCATCTCCACCATCCAGCGCATCCGAGGCTTCCGATCGTGAGCTACCAGCTTCAGGATCTTTCGCCAATGTCGCAAATTGTGAAGGGTGAATGAACCCTACTTCATTGCTGAGCACGAAGGAGCACCAAAGCAGCCGGAAAAAAAAAAAATTTGAACATAGGGTTGAGCGAATAAATTGAACGAAGGGGAAACTTCCTTAATTGAATTTGATGACGGTGCTTACATGATGGGATCGGAATCGAGAATGTATTCGAATTGATTCAACAACTCCGACATGGCTTCATTCTGAATAGTACCTTCAGGCTTCATTCATCATTACGAGTTTCATTCATTAATCTGTGAATCAATCCTAAAATTAAATAGTAAAGAAAGCAAATTGCTGAACAAAAGGGGGAAACACAGAACCTTTTGGGGCTTCTCGGAGTCCTCAAGGCTGGTAGGGCGGAACCAGGCCTTCTCTTCCACCACCACAGCACCATCACCACCATCAATCGTAGAAGCTTTCCCCGACGAGGCCGCCGCGGCTCCTCCAGAGGCGGCAGCGGCAGGGCCAAACACTCCGGTCTGCGGGTGCGGCTCCCAGTAGTAGAACTTATCCTCCTCTTTTAGCATCTGCTGCTGCTGCTGTGGCTGCCGGAAGATCACCTGATCATCATGATGATGGTGATCCGCCGACTCTACATTCTTCTCGTACGCCGAATGCAACCCCCTAGCAAAAAGCAAGAAAAGTAAACACCGTCTCAGTTGGAAGTTGGGAACACACGGATAAACAGGCCCATCCATCCAGGCCCACGCCTGCCACCGCGTGTTCGATTAAATCATTTAATAGTGGGCCCAAGTCCACCCTGCCGCACTTGGCTCCATCTATTCCAATCGTGTCCAATCCATCTAGCATTCTTATCTCTACGACTCTCTATCCATCCATAATTAAACTGGAATGCTAAACACGTGACTAAATTGATCATTATCCCTCCCTTTCTTCTTCCATGCAAAATCCTTTGTGGAAAATTCTTACAATTGATCCGTTAAAAGTGAATTCCATCTCGTGTTTCCTTGTTTCAATCGTATGTGTTCATTGACTTTGAATCGGCAGATCAAATTTTCGAACCCCTGAATGTATTCTTCTTTTTTTGCCAACTTCTTTTTAGTAGCATAAATACAAAACAACACGAATGATTTAAATTATATCTCTTTTTGCTTATAAAAATAAATGAGAAACTATGAGTGGCAAGTGTATTTCTAGGTGTCATGTCTCTAAACTTAGAGAACATCAAGATTTTCTAAATATTGGAAGTACTTTTGAGATTTCAACATGGCGTCCAGGCGCTCATTCTCTATCTTCTCCCTCAGTTCTAACTTCTGGGTTTCAGGGATTTGCTGTACAAAAGAGATTCCCACAAGGCAATTAGTTCACCTGAGGAAACCAAAAAATTAACTACTATAACTAGACATTTTGTTACCTTTGTCAACCATAACATGTAAGATGCTGAACAAATTGCTTGTTCTTCAAAATCTTCAAACTCATCATCACTTCCTTCCGAGCATGAATTGACGAGGAGCAACTCCTTATCCAAAAACACACTGACGTTCACTTGGATGCTAGATTGGCTTTTTTGTGGGGAAGACACGTCGTTGACATCGCTTATCCTCTCTTCTCGTGCTTTTGCATCACGCGATAGGTACGCGTGATATTAAGCAGCAGCTGGTGCTTGCAGTTGCAGACTTTTCAGTTGGTAGTTTTCCCGTCATGTAGGTATTGGTATGGTTGGTTCTCCAACGATAAAAAGAAGGGGGAAAAATAATGATTGAATGCAGGCACAAGTAAGAACTGATATTCATAAAGCAATTGATAACACTAGTACATGTTTTATCCTACACCGGTTTTAATTAAGGGAAACGGAGCTAACAAAACATGTTTTGGGGTTGAAAAAGACATGTCATAGCAGAAAAGTTTGATGCGATTTAGACTGATCATGTTTTGATCTCATTTACTTTTCTTAATTATATTTCTCGTTACGCACAAATGGCTGCTTCTCCAAACTCCCTAATCCCATTACTGTCAAAAGTACGGCAGTACTTGCTGAATAAACCAACCAACTGGGAGCAGGCCGGCGGGAAAAAAACAAGAAAATTTTGGCGTTGACCCGTGAGTAGTGGCGTTGGCTGTGGGTGGGGCCATCGGCCCAACGAACAACAACCCCTCATTTTTCATTTATTCCGATTTGTTGTTTTGTGAGCATGTGCTTGGTCCGTTATAGCAAGTTAGCAACAAAGAAAAAAGCCACATGCCCTAACGCCACCACCGCACCAGAAAGACAGACGGTGGTGGTGGTTAGGGGTGGCAGCCGGTCGGTTTCGGTTTAACCGAAAACCGAAAATCCGATTATCGGTTAAATCGAGACACCATCCATAACTGCCGACCACCGACCGAAGAAAGGCCACGGTTAGCCGGCAAACCGACCGGCCGGTTCCGGTTTTAGGCTCGGTTAGCCGGCCAGCCAAAAAAAAAAACATTGTCCACAAAAAAAAAAAATAAAATAAAATAAAACAAAAAAACCTCCACCACTCCTTCCTTATCTACTCCTCTCCTTCCTTCCACCAACAGACTTCTTCTCTCTCCTTCCTTCTTCTTCTAATCTTCTCTCACCTTCTTTCCCATGGGCATGCAAACAGATCTGCAGGGGCGACGGGCGGCGAGGCGCGCAACGAGGATGCGAGGATGCGAGGCGCGCGGCGGCGCAGCGGCAAGAGGCGAGGCGCGCGGCGGCGAGGAGGCGAGGCGCCTGACGATGGAGACAGGGGAGGGCGGCGAGGCGCACGGGCGGCAATTTGTGGTGGCGGTGGAAGAAGGGGTAGCGGAGGAGGCAGGGGATGGTGGCCAGAGTCGTCGTCGGAGGGAGGATGGGGGAGAAGGAGGGAGGATGGGGCTGCTCACAACTGCTAGGGTTTAGGGAGGTGGGTGGTTTTATAAATTTAGGCCAAAACGGGGTCGTTTAGGGTCGGTCGGTTAGCGTCGATTAGCCGGTTAACCGGCCTCGGTTTTTCGGCTAACCGCCTAACCACAGAACCCATCCGACAACCGACCGTCACCCATTTTTTTCGGTTTCCGGTTAGCCGCTAACCGACGGTTACCGGTTCGACCAGCCGGTGAGCCGCTAACCGGCAACCAAACTGACAGCCCTAGTGGTGGTGGTGCAAGACCTCTCGAAATCCAAGATAAAACTGATGAGATGAAATAACCAAAACGATTAATAAATCGTCGTAGAATAGTCAAATCTAATCGTCGTACTCCATTACTCTCCCGTCCATCGCATGAAACCAGAGAGAAACATGAAGAAATTGATTGAATACGCCTGTTACAAACTAATATAGAAGAAAAGGGGAAAATGGAATGGTGATTAACACTGAAGAACCAGAAATGGTTGGCAGGGTTTCCTTTCTCTTCCTACCTTTCTTTGGAAAAAATCCCAAAGTACACACGTTCTTAAAAAAAATTCTCAAAATACATGAGTTATAAAAAAATTTCCCAAAGTACACATGTTTGAGCATCACCGTTTTAGACAAACACGGTGAAGATCATCACCGCGTTTGACAAACACGGTGAATACTTAATCGTTTTAAACAAAAACGGTGAAGTATTCACCGTTTCACACCAAAACGGTGAAGCTTTCACCGCGTTAGTTAACAACGGTGAAAGCTTCACCGTTTTTGACCAAAACGGTGAAGCCTTCACCGTTGTTAACTAACGCGGTGATCATTTCCCACGTTTCCCACCCCTGGTAGGTCAAAATTAGGTCGCAGCTACCACCTATTCACCGTTTGAGACAAACGCGGTGATAGTGTTCACCGTTTTTGACAAAAACGGTGAATAGTAGGCAGATTTTCCTATAAATACCACACCACCAGCAGTTGTAAAAACATAACCACTCCCCTTTCTTCAAATTTCAGCAGCCAAAATCGAGCATAATACACAGAACAGAAATTTTTCGGTATGTTGAGACTTTTCGTATTATGGTCTAATTATGTTTTTAGTAGTTATAGTATGATTTAATTTTCGTATTATGTTGTTGTTAGTTAGTTGAATTTATTTTCGTTAGTTATGGTATGATTTAATTTTCGTATTATGTTGTTGTTAGTTAGTTGAACTTATGTTCGTTAGTTATAGTATGATTTAATTTTCGTATTATGTTGTTGTTAGTTAGTTGAATTTATTTTTGTTACTTATGGTATGATTTAATATTAGTTGTACAATATGATTTTGGTTAATTTTACTGTCTTTAAGCTAATAGATACTTATTGTAAATTGTAGATATGGGTAAATTCAAGAAGTTTCATCTTACTATTCGGTGGAATGGAAGGGTGACAAACTCTGACATAGGCATTGATTATGAGGACGGCGAATCCATTATGCTGAAAATTGAATCCCGATTCAATTTTCAAGAACTCTATGATCTTTGTGCAGAAAGGGTTTGTACGAGCGGACAGACGAGACTTGGCAAAATTACTTACCGGTATCCAGACATGAGTGCTGGCGGGGTCGTGTTCCAAGAAGTTGTCATAAACGATGATGACGCGGTTATGATGATGTTACAGTTCCTAAGCGATAACCAAGTCCGGCTTGCAGAGGTGTATGTTGAGACCGAGGCGCTCGGTGAATCTCATTCTCACCAGTATTCTTATGATGATGGTTTTGCAGGAGGGTACGAATGGGGTGGTAGTTCGAGCAACTACCAAGGCGGTGGTTATACAGGAGGTTACGGGGAGGGTGGTGGTTCAATCAACTACGGTGGATCGAGTAGTGCAGGATGGGACCAATACTCGCAACCTCCTAAACCAGCCCCATTTGTTGAGGCCGATGGTGTTCAATGGCCTGCTTGGGGGCCAGAGTGGTATGGAATCGAGAATACCATTCGATCAGGGCGTACTTCACATGAGCGAGAGGACGATGTTGGTGATCGTGGTCATGTTGATCCTTCTAGCTCGAGCTATCCATTCGAGTCAAGCGACGAGGATACTGAGGAAGATTTGATATCAGTGAGCGAGGAGGAGGAAGATACTGATGATAACGAGGATGAGGCGGCATTTCGTGAGGCACCCACGCCATATTACACACAGGTTCCAACTCAATTTTTACATAGTCAAAATGATCCCCCCGACTTTGTCCCTATGCCAGTGTACAATCCAACGGCCAATCTGGAGGTGGGTATGGCGTTCACATCGAAAGACGCTGTGCAGGATGCATGTACAGAAGAGGCGTTGAGGCGCAATTTCGAGTGGAAGGTAAAATATTCTGACAGTAAACAATTACATGTCATATGCAAGCATGATGCAGAGGGTTGTACGTGGCAACTGCGGGCTGCAAATATGAAGAGAAAGGGTGCTTGGGTGATTCGCAAAGCTGAGACGATCCACACATGCTCCTCTTCTATACTTTCCCAAGATCACAGGCAACTAAAAGCAAAGAAGGTTGGGAGAACTATTAAGCACCTTATAGAAGCACAACCATATATCAAGGTGAAAGCTATCATGGAAGAGGTGAAGGATCGACATTCTTACACGATAAGGTACAAAAAAGCATGGCATGGTAAGCAGAAAGCCATGGCTGAGGTGTATGGTGATTGGGAGGATTCGTATGCTTTACTCCCTAGACTTATGGGAGCAATGGAGGAGTCCAATCCTGGGACTGTTTTCGTCCCAGTATACAACAATGTATACACTGAGGATCAAGTTCGAGTACAGGATAAGCTGATGTTCCATCGTCTTTTTTGGGCTTTTAAACCATGCATTGACGGTTTTGGGTTCTGCACCTCTTCGAACGTAGGCAAAGGCCTGCGTTTGCTCCTTCGTGGGGGCTCAACCGGGGGCACAATGGCTGCATCATCACGGAATGAGGGTCGTGCCGGGGCAGGAACGGGAGGATAGGCCACGACATCCCTCCTTTGCTCTCTGGTGCAACTCAGGAGGTTATTCATAAGTCGGGTCAACCAAGTAGTCTTCCGCTCATCCATGGTTGGAGCACTTTCGAGAGTGTACTTCGCGTGTTCCAAACCATCAACCTAAGGAAAGCACAAAATATATCAAATTAACTAAACATTAAAATAAATATATTTAAGAATGAGGGAGATTAGGATGACTTACCACCGAACCCATCACAGCACCTTGCTTTGACACCCATCTCAAGGTGAACTTCCGATACCACTGCATGTACCCATCGTGGTAGCCCATCGGTCTCGTCTCCGGCATCCCTTGCACCACCCATTGGGATCGATTCTCCCATATGTTGATGTAGAATCCATGCTTTAGCGTCCAGTTTGCATTGTTTCGGAGGTCCATAGCATGTAGCTCCTTGAAACCTGCTGGCGGGTCTTGTGGAATTGGTTGCTCCATTCGATACTGCCTCAGGGATCGATCGGGTAGGTGCCATTCCACAATGTGCCAACAGATCAATGGCACCTTGCACAACCACGTCTCGTGATCCAGAGGGTGCCTAAGATGATGCAGCTCAACCACTTCACGTGGATATGGATCCCATATAACCTAAAATCACAAAAATTCGGAATTAACGACCATTTACTTTGATAAAATTGATCTTGTTCAAATATGGACAAAACATGATTACCTGATTCCACCATGGTTTATCTAACTCAGAACGATAAAACAGTAACGAATGCTCAGGCTGATGGTCATTCGTATTTGCTCCTATCCACCTTGTAAGTAAAAGTACGGAATCAATTTAAATTCAATTTAAATCTAGTTAAGCATGTAATAAAAATTAAATTGGGCTAAGTACGGAATAAATTCAATTTAAATCTAGCTCAAGCATGTAATAAAAAGTTAAATTGGGCTAAGTACGGAATAAATTCAATTTAAATCTAGCTCAAGCATGTAATAAAAAGTTAAATTGGGCTAAGTACGGAATAAATTCAATTTAAATCTAGCTCAAGCATGTAATAAAATTTAAATGGGGCTAAGTACGGAATAAACTTACTTGACACCGTAGGGGAGATTTTGCAGAAGGTTGAGCTCATCATCGTTTCTCCGGTATGGACGTGGGTCGAGAGGTGCGAACATTGGAAGATGCTCCCATACCCACAGTTGAACGATGAACATCGCAGCACCAGCTTGCTTTGCCCCAACCCTCGAGCAAGTACACAGCTCCCGGTATACGCCCGCTAGCACGGCCGATCCCCAACTCTTCTCTCCAATTGCATCCCAGTCACCGGTAAGCAATGGCAACCATATGCCTTGAATCCACCGGTTGGACTTGTCGGGGAACAAAAATCCACCCACCAAACCGATGAGGTAGATGCGGGTGTAGCGCTCGACTTGTTCTTCCGGTGTCTCGTCATTGATTTCCACCTCTTGCTGGATGTGAGATACCAGCCACGGGACCGACACTTGCCCCGCATTCAACGGTGGATGCCCCCGTCCTTGATTTGGTGTGGTGGTCGGCATGTCGAAGCCCAAACGATCACGGATGAGCGGCCCCCAACCTCCTTCGGGTTTGGTCGTGTTCCCAATGATGGCATCTCCAGATATAGGAAGCCCGGTGAGGATCGCCACGTCTTTGAGGGTGATCGTCATTTCCCCCTCCGCAAGGTGGAATGTATGGGTTTCGGGACGCCATCGTTCCGCCATTGCTGTAAGCAGCTCGTTGTCGATCTCGATCCGCAAGAAATGGCGCAACATTCCCAAACCGGTCCTCGCTATATAGGGCTCCAACCTTGGATGCCAAGCGGGCAAGTTATTGGTCCCTTTATGAACCACGGGAACAAGAGATTCCTAAAAAAAATATGAAAAACATCAATTAATTAGATTAAATAAAGCAAAATAAAACATTAGAAAATAATAAAATAAAGCAAGTCAGTTCATCAAATTACCGGATTGTTATCCCAAATGGCACGGGAGCGATGCATTTGCTGATCGGTTAATAGACTCGCATCCCTTGGGC